GCTTCTTCGGCGAGAACGCTAGTCTCGAGTCGGCATCATGGCAAATAGTGAACAGAGGACAAATGAATCATGGACGAATAGACTCTCAAAAACAAAAGATCATGGATTCACCTTTTTAAGGTGCTCTATTTTCTTCTTGAAGATGGTTGGAACCCCTTTTCTTCCTGTTTTGCTTGTTTTCTTTTTTTTTTTTCTTTTTTTTTCAAGGGTCCCAACCTGCTTTTCAGAAAATGGGGGCTCCCACCTAGCAGAGGTTTTGCGGGAGCCCGGCTCTTACCGGCCATGCCAAAAGCGGATGTCTCGAGCCTCGTGCGGGGGAAGACATGTAAGGGGGCTGGAGGTAGTAGGTGGAAATTGGGAACGGATTCCCGTCTCCCTTACACACTTTCGCCCTATTCGCACGGGAGACGTTATTTTAAAGCACATTTTCGAGCACCTTTTATTTCAAAAACATGATACAGGAGTCCATGACAGGTAGAGAGTCCACATCACCACACAATTCAAGAGTCCTAAGATCACTAATTCGCACAATCAACCAACACAATATGAAGAAGAAAGGAGACTTCTTAAATGCATCAACATCCTCCACAGTGCTACACTACCTCCCTAGGTTGCACATTACTATAGAGACTGTCAATTCAAAGCATACTAAGCAGGCAATTGCAAGGAACACGTACTTGGAGCCCTCAAATTTAAAAATTTGGACAGTGGACTAGGCTCCAAGCACACAAACAGATCTAACGCAGTCAAAAGATAAACATCCCCCCACACTTAAGATCGACATTGCCCTCAATGGAGAAGAGGGAAGGAAAAGGGGAACAATGTTACCGGTATGCACGGACTGCAGGAGACTGGAAGCGGACCAGTCGGAGTGAAGCGGACTGGAGAGAGGACCAGTCAAGACAAGCACAGCTAAAGGAAACCAAAGAGCTCAAACACAATACGTCAGGTCTAATGGTCAGCCCAATAGTACAGCATCCAAAATAAAAAGAAAGAAGCTAAACCGACACAAGACAGTTTGCACACTGACAAAAACAAACACACTCAAAACATGTCACTAGGAGCCGCCTCCTAGACCGGTGAAGTTGATCTGGTTCATGAGGTCATCGTCTCCATCCTCCGGTGGTGGTGGTGGTGGTGGTGGTGGTGAATGATCCCACCGGGTGGTCCAGTGGTGCTCCTCTGGGGGGTGACAAGCCTGGAGCAGGTGCTCCGAGTACTCCATCAATCGGCGGCCTCGATCTCTCTCTCGCTCGATAAGAGCACCCGTGACTCCCATATGGGTCTCTAAGCGGCCGAAGCGCTTGTCAACAACCGTCAGCCTGGACTGGTACTCGGCCTGGTGAGCCAAATTCTGCTAGTAGAACTGGACCTGATGGTCCATGAGCTGCTGGTTCTGAAGACCGAGCTGCTGGAACTGGAGCCCCATCTGCTGGAACTGCTTCGTGAAGAAGTCCATCGATGGGCCAGAAGCCATCGATGGATCAGAAGGACCGGAGGTCGACGGACCAGAAGGACCGAAGGAGGACTCACCTCTCCCTAATCTCCGTCATGGCCGAAGCTCCCCTGGTGGAGAGAGCGGGGGCTCCGGCTCATTGGCATCCATGGCCCCGCCATCATCATCATCATCATCATCATCATCATCCGCATCCTCCTCCTCGCCGGAGTAGTCAGCGTCCTCCTCGTCATCGTCGAGATCCACAGCCTCCTCAGGAGTCATGGAAAGCCCATCTACCCAGGTACGGGTGCCATCAATGGCCAGGAGGAGTGCATTGTGGAGCACTTCCCGGCTGAGGGGGGTGGAGCCGCCCCGTGCAGAAGAATCATTAAGTCCCTAGAAGCTGATGTCGAAATGGCGGTGGTTGGGTTTCCCGGGGCACAGTAGCGGTGGTTGGGTTTCCCAGGGCACCGGGAGAAGGTGGTGGCCACGAAAGAACCCAAGTGGAGCATGTGCTCCGGGTACCCCATCGAGTACATGGCATACAGCACCCGCTTCGGAATCTTATGCGAGCCGATGACATTGGGGACGATGGAGCGAGTGATGAGCAGGTTCAGGATGTGCCACTGCGGCTTGAGGGTGCGGACGTATGTCTGGCCAGGATCGAAGTAGTCATACCCGTGGGCAAGCCTGGCTATCCGGCGGTAGAACTCGTCCTGGTTCCAGTCAGTCGGGTGCGGGATCTCGACCTCGTGGCGATCGAACGGGTGGTACTCGATCCCCAAGGCATAGGCCAACCCGTCAATGGTCAGCTCCCGGGCGTAGCCGCCCAGCTTGAATGTCACTGCATACGTGTCCCAGGGCGCTTTGCTGTCGTAATTGAAAGTGGTGTAGAACTCCCACACTAGCTCAGTGTAGGTGGGCTCCTCGATAGTCAGCAGCGTTCGCCAATCGGGGTGGCTGATCATGGCGCTGAGCTCCTGTATGCAGTGGATCTGCTCGAACACTGCCCACTCTAGATGGTGGTGGCGCGCCAATTTCCCGCGCGTCACCGCGCGGAACTAGTCCGCATACTCCGGGTGCAGGCGCAGGTTCTGCACAAATGAATGGTCGAGGGACATGCTCCTGCAAAAGCAACAAACCAAAGGTGGAGCCAAGAAAACCTTGTCAGGACCAACAGCATGGGTTCATCACTTCCCCCACACTTAAGGACCACCTAGGCCAACAGTTCTAAGCATAGCCGGTTGAATCGCAAGCAACTCAACCGGAATCAAGGCAAGAAACACAGAACCAACCACAATAAGTACACGGGCAGCACAGACACCATATATAGAACCATGCATACTCAAAGCATCCCTCACCCTATTCTAACTCATGCATGCAAATACAGTTCTCGGTCCTACAATCTACAGTTCGATTTTCCAGGTAAGAACAGTTAACAAGAAACACACCTGAAAACGCAAGGAGAACTGTAGCTAAGGCACAAAAAACGGGTGAGTGACGCGAGATGGAGGCCAAAAATGACCCGAGAGGCTCGCCGTAAAATGGCCGGAAAACCGCCGGAAAGTCGCCGGAAAACGACCGGCGGCGGGGTGGTGGCGGGCGGCGCTCGGAAGAGAGAGGGGACGGATTGGAGAGGAAGAGGGGAAAATTTTGAAAAATGAGGGTAGAGAGAGAAACTGACCGGGGGTTTGCTATAAATAGCAAAAATCCCCGGTCGTGGAATCAAAAATACCCGAAAATGAGGGTAGAGAGAGAAACTGACCGGGGGTTTGCTATAAATAGCAAAAATCCCCGGTCGGGTATTTTTGATTCCACGACCGGGGGTTCAAAACGCGGCGTGCCAAGTGCAAGGGAATCCCCGGCCTTGAGCCAAAAATACCCGGCCGGGTATTTTTGGGTCAAGGTCGGGGGTTCTCAAAACGCAGCGTCTTAACATGGGAAAATCCCCGCCGTAGCCAGTCTAGCTCGCTGTTTTTTCCTTAGTTGGCGACAGGTGCGTTCAATCTCCGGATTCAATGGCAGTAAATCTCCCGACTGGCTACGGGTCATGCACTACCTGCACACAATCAAGCAAGCAAACCCGTGAAGGCACAAGTGGGAAAGAACAAACATTCAATGCAAAAACGAAAGTGCTAAAGTAACAGAAATCACTTTTCTTCAACAACCTAGCCGTCCCCGGCAACGGCGCCAAAAACTTGACTCACTCCTAGTGTCACTCTAGGAATTGGCCAAGTGTAACCACTTCCTAAAATGTAGTATAGCGGGTTTGGGTTTTAATGTCAACCCGGGTCCTAGATTTGATGACTACTCGGTGAATTCTTGTTATCTAGCAATGAAACTTTAGTGCAGGTCTAAACTAACAAACAAGCAAAGCAACTAAACGGTTGTTTTCAGGTTAAGAGAGGTCACCCGGATATGGTTCCCCCTAGACTGCAGTTAAGCCGGATTGCAATTACCAAGTTCAGTTTCTATGATAGTTATACTGCGGAAGGCTCTTAACCAGTCTGAAGTCTCGACTAAAGGTCTCCAGACCCTCTCAATCTGAGTCTCCAGCGGGCGACTAACCTCCACTGGAGTAAACAGATTGAGGCCCTAACGAACCAAACCTCCACTACCGAATTGAATTCGGTACAGAATAGCGAATTGGCTCCTCGACTAAAGTCACCAATTCGCCACCTTCAATTAAGGGTGCTCTATCAACCTAGGCATATATTCTCATTCTAGGTTAAAGCAGAAACAACAGGAATTTGATCAGGATTCAAGTCATTCAATCATTCAAGCCTCAATCGAATATAATCAACTCATGAAATCTGTACTTGGGTTCATACAATCAGACCTAACATACAAATCTAGGGTTCTCCATACCCAGATGAATGGGAGAACTACTCCATGGAGAAAGAAGCAAAAACAGATTCAGACGCGGAAATCATACTGTGAAGGATGAGTTTCAGCTCCTGGTTGTCAATCGGCACTTCTCCAAGCTCAAGCCGGGCTCCAATGGTGATGAAGATCAAGCTATGGCACTTGGGAACTCTTGTTCGTTGCTTTCTCTCTCTAGGAATCGCTCTCTCTCTCTCTCTAAAACTCGACTCCCTTGATCTTTAGCCTTCTTTTCCTTTAAAACTGCTGCCTGTCGCGATACCTGGTCAAAATACCCGGTCGGGTATTTTGGGTCTCGACCGGGTATAATTGAAACGTGCGTTTTGCCTCAGGGAAAAATCCCCAGTCTAAGCCAATAACCCCCGGTCGGGGATTTTTGCCTCCAGTCCGGGTCCCCTTCTGTTTCTCACAGACGCCCAAAGCCAAAAATCCCCGGTCATGGCCAGATAATACCCGGTCGGGTATTTCTGCTCATGGCCGGGTATTTTTGCTCTCCAGCACACTTCAACCCAACTTCGCTCCTTTCGACCCAAAACTCGTTTTCTTGCCTCGATTCCAACGCCGGGTCCTGAAATACGACATAAACACACTACCTCGCGTGAAATCGGCTTAAAACACGAGAGTCAACCTCTCAAACGGCTCAAGAATAGGGGTAAAAACATGTGTAATTATTGGTCTATCAGGAGGCATCTTCCATTGAGGAGTCACTTTCTTGCGGAGAAGGCGCCTCCCCACTCCCAGTAGGCGCCGCGTCATCCTCCTCAGCCGCCTCCTCTTGTTCATTCTGCATCTCCTCAATGACAAAGTTCACAAGGTCGGGAAAGTCCACGACGATGTCGGGGTACTCTTGATCAAGCTTCCTCTTGGCAAGCACCAAGCTGTCCAGAGATGCCTTGGCAATCAGCTCCTGCCCCTCCTCCGAGCTAGGGAAGCGCTTGAGGGACGCCTTGAGGGCCCTTATTTCCTTGCGGGCATCCCTCAAGGCCTTTTTGTAGTCTCCTCGGCGGTATGCACCCGCCTTCACCTCGTCCTCGAGAGAGGCCTTCTCCTCCCTCAAGGTCACAAGCTCGGTATCCCGGGCGCCCAAGTCCTGGGTAAGCGCCTCTTTGTCCGCCGCCAGGGCGGCCAGCTTCACCTCGAACTCTAGGCGCTCCTTCGCCATTAGGGAAGCAAACTCGGCGTCCCGTTGGCGGTGCTCCGCCTCCAAGGTAGCCTGAAGAGTGGAGATTTGCTTAGCCGCCTCCAGTTGGGCCTCTTTGCACTCCTTGATAAGCTGCTCGCGGCGCGCGGTAGAATTCTCGAGATTGTCCTTCATTGTGGACAGAGACGCCCTCGCTTCGCGACACTCTTGAGCCGCGACATCTGCCTTCCGGGCGCCTGCTTCGGCGAGTAGGAGCATCTGCAAAGAAAACGGACGCATGAATTTAGGCAATATAAAGGGGCGCCTCGGTAGAAGGGCGCAGGACGGTAAATACGAAAGAAAACTCAGGCGCATGAAAATTTACCTTGACACCCATTCGGGCTACTTCGGACCAAGGACGATCCTCCGAGATCTCGGAGGGCACTTGCAGTAGTTGGGACGCCGAAAGGGCCTGGCCCATTGCGCACCCACGATCCACCGCCGCACGCGACGAGCAAGAAAGAGCAACGCGCCCCATCTTGGTGCGCAGCGGCTGAAGTATGGGTGGCTTCCCGTCCGGACCAAGTAGGCACCCCGACTCGATGACATAGCAGTTGGAGAGTGTACCCTGCCCCTGGGCGCCTTCCTCCCCTCGTGTCGGGGCCTCCATCGTATCTTCGACATTGGGCCGAGGTTTCTTGCCCAGAGAAGCTAGTCGGGCGCCTGCCCGTTTCCCACGGGTAACCAAGGGCGTGTCATCGTCTTCTTCCCCCTGCTCATCCAGTGTAACAATCAAGGTCGGATCTTCAGGCGCATCAGCCCCTGACGGGGTAGACGCTACGCTAGAAGTCTTTGCGGGCTTCTCGCTGGGCGCCTTCCCTTTCCCTTTGACAGCGGGTACTGGGGGCGGTTGCTTGGTGGAAACTGAGGCAGGGGACTCCTTGAGGAGGTCAGCGCTGTGTCATTCTGGCGTATCGCCCCCTCATCAAAGTGGCAATGCGGGAAAAATCGGTACCTGCACACAAACAATCACATCAGCCAAGGCGCCTACAAGAGCATTAACAAGCAAACGAAGTATCTAACACACCATCTCCAAAGTATGCATTTAAAATAGGCGCTCAGGCGCTGGTTGGGCGCAAGTCGTTGGGTGAGGCGCTTATAAGGGCGGCGCCGGTTCGCTCGTCTTGGTTAAGCACGACGGCAGCGTTAAATCGTTTCTCATCACCAAGCTCCCACTGTCCTAAAGGCGTCCCCACTTTCAAAAAAGTAGTCCCTATGCGCCTTCATGAAGAAGAAGCCCGTGAACCAAGACCTCCCTAGCTTTGGACACTTAGTCACGAAGTGGGCGCACACCTTCTTAGGGCGCTTCAACGACAGACAGTTGTCTCTGGGGGTAACCGAGAAAAAGTGACGAGAAAGATTGAAAGTTGGGTGCACGTTATGGATTCGGCACTTCAACTTAAAAAGCGCAACGATCAGAATCACAGACACTGATAGGCGCCCAATTGTGCACCCGCAGTAGTCTAGGAGCCCCTCTAAGATGGGAGCAATGGGAAATCGAAGCCCGAACCGGAAGTATTCCTGGTAGATGCCCTGCCATTTGGGCCCGTATAGACCCACCCTGGCAATGGGAGATGGAGGCGCGTAAGTCCACGTACGGGGGAGGTCAAGGCCCGTGATCAAGCTCTTCATCCAAGCCGCTGAAATGGTGGAGTTATGCTCGGGCCCTGTCACATTTGTGGGCAAACAAGTAGTTTCGACAGGCGCATATTGTGGCGGCCACGTGTTTTCCCATGTCGTCATCTTGTACGATCCATCCTCCGGCATGTAGTAGTTGGATGATGAAGACGGTATTGGTGACAGTACAGACGCACCCGCTATAACAACTCAATCAGGCGCACACAACCGTCGGCGAGGTGAGGGGCGCCCCATGGTGGAAAAAAAAGAGGCGGCGGCGGCACAAGATGGTTATCTGTTTTGGTCGAGGCGCCTGGACCCTTCGAGGAGCCCGCGGCGGCGGCAGCAGCATCGTCGATCGGGTTCGACATCCCGGAGTAAAGCAGAACACGCTGGTAGAAGGAGGGAGAGAGGCATGGTAGAGAGAGAATCTAGAGTGAGAGAGTTGAAGGCGAATGAAGTACAATCAAAAGAGAACTTACATTTAAAGGAGATAGAGGTCGCGCCTCGGCAATCGTGTCGTTGGCTACGTGGCCCAATCACAACCGCATAGTTTGAATTCAAATTGGCGGTTGTGAGGGGCGCAGCAGGAGTAGCGCGAGGCGCCTTTGGGAAAAGGAGAGAGTTAAGGGGAATTGCGAGGTGCCTTTACCGGGTGAGGCCGAAGATAGGGGAAAACGCGCCGGGAAAATCAGCACCAAGAATGGGGCGAGGCGCCTTTGGGAAAGGGGCAAGTGATGCTTGGAGTGTTGGAAGAGGAGAGTAGGATGAAGGGGGCCGCGAGGCGCCTTACACCTGGTGATGCCGAGAGACGCCTCGAGTTGGGGGGTGAATGACAGTTTGGTTAGGGTTAGGACATGCACACCGGGGTAGCGCAAGGCGGCCAAGTTGTAAGAGAATGGGAGGGAGTTAGGCGAGGAGTAGGGCGCCTAAAATAGCGGCAAGAGGCGCCTAGGTTATTGGGCCCGGAGGTGGGCGCGGAGAGCGCCCCTGGTGGATAAGTGAAAGAGGGGAAGGAAAGGAGGCGCATCGGCACTTGTTGGAGGCGGGTAGTTATTTTTTCGGATACCAGGAATGATGACAAGTCGGGCGCCTAGCCCAAGTAAGGTATTAAATTTGATGCCGACGTTGAAACCCGTAGTGGGAAGCATTTAGTTAGGCGCTCAAGGTATGAGACTTGAGCACCTAACTGGGGGGCAATTGTTGGGGGTATTCATAAGGGAGGAGTCTGACGTGTCAACAAGACATGCGGGAGATGGATCTTAAAGGAGCCCAGGGAAAAGTTAGGACCTGGTGATCATGGGAAGCCTAAAGGTATGGGGGATGGAGCCCAATTAGTTAAAATCTGGAGCCCGACTAATTGTGCATAGAAAAGCACGGTTAATCGAGGCGTCCGATGGAGTGAAGGCGGGAGTCTACATGCATTAAAGGCGCCTGGGGCGTACCTCCCGTTGGAGTGACGAGCCAGGCACCTCGCCTGAAATGAGACATTAAACGCGGTGCTGACGTGGAAGCTTGTACGGCAAAAGCCAAGGTGAGCAATGAACAGTTATAAATATGGTGGTTGGCAAGCATTTAAGGAGGTTAGCTTCTCTCACTAAAAAGATTTCTATTGGCAAAGTACTTCTCTCTTTAAGAAATAGGCCGACTTGAGCGTTGGAGGATTAACGGGCCACGAGGCCCACCTCCGTGTGTGCAGGAAGGTCCGTGAAGGCAGGGGTACGGTACGGGAGTGGAGTAGGTGAATCGAAGGGGCTTCAACAAATCCCCTCGTGAAAATTGAATTACCTTAAACCCCAAATTTCTGATATCCGCCTAAACAGAAAACAACAGTGCATTCATTCCTTCAATTCAATCATCCATACATAAACTGATTCTGCTTATCAGCCTCGCACTCCTAAATCACCCTAGCCCTAGTCACTTCCCTCCCGGACCTATTCGATATCCTCATCTACGTTTTGTTCTCAACTTCTCATCCACCAATATCTGGACAACATACGAAGATCTAAAGAAAACAATGATTGGTAAAGCCATCGTAGCTAGCTCGCTGGCGGGGAATCGCCGGGGCACCGAAACCAGCGAAGAGCGGGAGGAGGAGGTGGAAAGGAAGAAAAAGACGGGAGGCTGCGGGACAGAGGTGAGAGGAAGTTGTAATGAACGAGCGGAACAACCCATTGATAGAATTAGATCTGACTGAGTTTTGAGAGGATGCCTGCCTGGCGAAATTCCGATGAAGTTTTGGATTGAAGTTTTGGGCTAACAATTGGTTTCAGAGGAATTGAACCGAAATTCTGGGTTCGGGTTACAAGAATCGGGATGTTTACCAATGCCACATGGGCCAATAAGAATTGGCTGCACCAGTGCCGCAATTTAATAGCGGCACTATAGTATTGGCCCTACTACAATACATACGAGACTAATATAATTAACAGCCTCCCCCAAATTGATGCATGTCTAACAACATCAATTTGCTAGACAGAAACCAGTGTCGACTCGTGGAGAATGACTTCGTGAATAGATCTGCAACTTGATCCTCTGTATGTATGTAGTGTAGTGTTACTGTTCCATCACGTACCATGTCCCGAACATAGTGAACATGTATCTCGATATGCTTGGTGCGATCATGTAGGACTGGATTAGCAGCAATACGAATAGCACTAGTGTTGTCAACCATCAGCTCCATGGGCAAGGGACATGATACCCCAAAATCAGCCAGTAACCATCGCAGCCAGACTAGCTCGGAAGTTACATAAGACATAGCTCTGTACTCTACTTCTGTAGAAGACTTAGAAACCTTATCTTGCTTCTTACACCGCCAAGAAACAAAGGAATCCCCATACTGAACACACCATCCCGTAGTAGAACGTCGTGTATCGATACACCCTGCATAATCTCAAAGAAAACAAAATACCTACTTCTTTAGTCCCTTTCAAGTAGTGCAAGATTCGATGTACTGCAGCTAGGTGATCCACACTTGGATCGGACATGAACTGACTCACCAATTGCACAACATAGGAAATGTCTGGTCGGGTAGCTTCCAAGTAAATCAAGCTTCCTACTATGCTGCGATACTAAGAGCCATCCTTAAGACGCTCTCCAAACTCTCTACTAAGCTTAAGATTAAGCTCCATAGGTGTTGAAACTGGATTGCAGTTCTCAAAGTTGTGATCATGCAACAGGTCTATAATATACTTCCTTTGACTGAGAAGGATCCCTTTAGCAGAACGAGAAACTTCCAACCCAAGGAAGTATACTAAAAGCAGCCTGAAGTCCATCTTTCAGTCTGCGAATACCAACGGCATCTGATCCAGTAATAATCATATCATCTACGTAGAGGAGGACCACAATACCTTGAGAGGAAGTCT